TCTGGCTCAGTACACATGAAGATTCCCCCCATTCTATTCTATACCCATATCCCTCACCACCCCAATTCATCCTGCATGATGGAGAATGGGTGAAATATCATGGTTTTACAAAATGTGTATAATACATGTGGATGAAACATAGAAAAATAATCAAGTAATTCATGGAAAGTTAAAATGTGAATTTAGGCAAAACTGTTAAGTAGCCAGATGGTGTCCTTGGTATTCCTCCACTCCTTAGGAGGCATTTCCCTAGTTCCATGATCCCTTCATCCCAGATGAGAAAGCTCCTGACCTCATGATCATATATCGCATCCTGACTGTCCAGCATCCCCATTGTGTCTCCATCAGCTTTCCCTTAATCCATACTTCTCATTTCTTTCTTCCATTTACTTGCCTGTCTCGTTTTTCCACAGGTCCTGCTCCTTGGTAGTAATCATTTTGAAAATGATTTGCTCTAGCCCAATGTAAAAGAAATTGCATTTTAAAAATGAGTTTTTCTAGGTATTTCTTGCTAAACTAAAAACATGTCATAGTGTTTAAAGGAGCTTGTTAACAAGATTTCCTCTTCTTAGGTCCCGAATTGATAGTTCCGCCTTCATTTATAGAGTCTCTGGTTACATCATTCGACTAAAGCATAGCAATGTTGAAGCCAAATTTAAAAGTTAAATGGACCTGTTGGTTTGCTGTTTGTGTCAGGTGAAATGGACATAAAAATAATCATTGTGGACCACATGGATGGCATGGTAGAGACCTATGGCTACTACTGGAAAAGATCAAAAGTAGCCATTGATGGTGAATCAGTGAATTCACCTTCAGTAATGAAGGTTCATAAATAAGAGAGTGTCATATGATCAGAATATGATTGATATGCATTTACTGGTTGTGACTCTGCATGTATAGCAGAGATATTTTTGGCAATGAATTCAAATAACTAAATAAATATTTGAAAAATGCATATGCAATCACTCTAAGAAGATATGGAAACTCTCAAAAAACATTTTGATTTTTACACACAACAATAAATGAATGCCTCTATCCCCAGAGAACAGGCATACAACTTTGAAAGCTAAAAATTATTCAAACTGATTCTCTCAAATTTTGTTGGATGTTTGCTGTGTTCACCTCATTACAGTTTCAATTTTCATTTTAAAAAATATTTTAATTTTGCTTTTGCACAAACACATTGAAATGAGGAATGTCAAATTTGTTTTTATTAACCATGTACATACAATATTAATGCAGATTCCCTCTCCAAATGAACCGATTCTTATTTCTTTTATGATTTCTCCTTTACTTCCCCTTATGGGCCCTGCCCTTTCCAAATACAGAGAAGGCTAAATTCTTTCTGACCAAAAGTGATCATCTACTTTGGGTCAGAAGAAAATGAGATAGTGATTAGCTACTACATTTTGTAACCAACAATATGCTCAACTCCCCAGAGCCCATCCACTCCCCAACCCAACCTCCCACTACCACTTATCCTTGAGAGCAACTCCCGCAGAGGGATGGATTGGTAAGAGTCCTGCAAAGCAACACATGCATATGAAACTCTTCTTTGACAGGTGCCGCAAATGAGCTTTATTGAAAGTGGAGTCTCCAGCAGTGGTCTGTGGAAGTAGCTTCAGACTTTTCTCCTACAATTCGGCCCACACAAAGAAACTGGCTTTCGTATTTCCCTCATGCAACTTATTTAATAAGTTCTTATTAAATCAGCTTCTTATCTATCCTCTTCCACTTGTCCTAACAGCTCTTGTTTTATTCCCAAAGAAAGGTATGTCTACCCATTCTGTATGATCTCTAAATTTAAACCTCAAAACCCCAAATCTTAATATCAAACAAAAATAGACAGGAATTTTCAAATTGCACTTAAAATTTACTGTATTAGATGCCAGCTAAATCATTATTCTGGGTTTTAAGAATACTTTCATTTATTTTCATTTTGGTATGGTTCTCAAAAATGTAAAATAAGAAAACAAAAACAAAGCAAAACTACTTTCTAAACTCCCTTCCCTGGCTGGTGTCACTTTCTAAAATAGCAGGACCTGTGATCAACCAAACCAAGGAGCATGGAAAAAAAAACACTTTCAAGGATTTCTAAATACAAATAGAGTTGTTTAGGCATCAGGATGATTTGGCACAATCTGTCTAATCTTTCCCTTCAGATTTCCTAGCATGCAACTAAACTCCAGAGGGAGAGAAAGAGTTCCTTTTGGCTCACTCCATAATTCTTGGTTGACCCATATATTATGCTAGTTCAAGCAGAAATCTGCTGAGAAGCTTACAAAAAATATTTGAAAAGCTCTTTAGGGACAATTTTGTCGCCCTTGATAGAGATGCCTACAGATGTACACAGCTTCCTCTACAGATCCTGCCTTCTGACTCACTTGGCTTGTGCAGCAGGAATGTTTTCTTCATTGCTTTTTAAGTCTCCAGCCCTTGGAAAGGAGGACGATGCCGGTAAAGAAAGTGTAAAGTGTCACTATTTCTAGCCACTTTTAAGAATTTGCAGGAATTTTAGTGATAAATAACCAATAGGTAAATGACAACTGTTTTTATTGAAATCAGGAGTTTGATATTGAAAGTTCCTACATATTTTAAAAGCAAAGGCCTCAGAGTCACAAGACAAGGATTGTAGTTGCTGGTTCAGAAAATTTCTAGCTGTGTTCTTAAATCAACCATTCTACCCTTCTGACTCTCTGAATGTTCACCCACAAAACAGGGATAAGAATATCTGAGTGACTACCTCATCCACTTGGTGTGATAAAATGAGAAATGGATGACAAAACACTCTGTACGACGTGAAGAACTATTCAAATGTAGAGCATTATTTTCAGAATGCAGGTGGGATTACATGAACTCCATTGTGAGGATTGAAACAGGAAATTTCTATCCGAATATGTAAACTTATTACTAATACTTTTGAAGTCTGTGAACTTGTGAATAGGAACCTGCCGTTTTTAAGTTTATATCTTGATCAGTTTCTCTTTGCAAATTTTAAATACAGTACACTGCATTTATAAATTTAACCCTGTAGCATGTTTGCTATTAGGCATTTGGCATGGTTCAATTTTATTATTGGTTAATTTATAGTAGCAGGGAAATAATACACTTATATTTTAGAAAACAGGGCATTTTATTTACTATCTATTAAGAAAACATTAAAAAAAAAGAAAGCATGCTATCTTATCCAGTTTTCCTTTTGGTTATAATTTCAATAGAGTGATTTCCTAATTCAATCATAACACTTTAAAGATAAAGCAATATCTACTTAAGCATTATTTAAAGAAAAAGGATTAAAACATTTCCATATAGATTTTAAAAGCCACATCTATGATAAAAATCTGACAAAATAATTATATTAATACTTAAATCACAATATATAAAAATAAAGCATGAAATAAGGGAAACATTTGATTACTGTGCCATTTGTAACTAATATAATATTCAAGTAAGAAAACGAATAATATCAAGAAATCAAATAACTTATTTGATGGAAGAAAAGGTGAGAGGTAGACTTTCAAGTACTTTTGGAAAGTACCAATAAGACCAGAAAGGACAGGGAAATTGTGTACTGGTGACAACTTATAATTGTGAAAAAGCACATTCAAAATTATACTAACATTTAAACTGTTTTCTTATTTACTAAAGAGTCTAAGAAATATCTTAGTGATTTGCTTTCATATTGCCACATATGTCATGTCAGTTGCCCCAAATATCTAGCTAGTTGGGAGAAAGGCATATTAAATGCTTTTAATTTTCTGAAAATAAATAAAAATCAATAGGAGAGTAGAAGATTTGAATTTAATTTTGTGGCAATACTCATAATATTGAGTGTTTTAGGGTTGGAAGGTACCTGCTATCCTAATCTTTTTTTAAAAAAATAATTTTTAAAGAAGGGGTTTTAAATTAAATTTGGAAATTATTTTATAATCACACTAGTTTGATTCCTGTCACTGACAACTTTTTGTTGGGGAAAACTCTATGAATGTTGGGATGAGGTGAGGAACAGATATAAACTTGCTTTTCTTTCTGAGTACAGCTATGGGATCAAGATTAGTTGTTTCTCTAAGCAGAAGCTCATGGGATTTGCCTTCCTCTTTACTGGAACCTGAGAATATTGCCAAGAAACATTGTAAGTGTTGCCTAGGTTGGCCCAACTCCATTATCTACATTTTTATGTAAGCTCTGATGCTTTCATTGGTAATGATTTTCCTTCTATTTTGTTTCCAATGTTGAATTTTCTTCTGCTCCCCACTGTTTCTATTCTCACAGCTATGACTAGCAATGGAATAATAACTACACTCTACTGCAAGGATTCAAATGAGAAAACAAAAACTGACACATTTTATACTGCATCATATAACAATGGCTCAGAACCCAGTAGTTTATGAATGAAATAAAGATACTTTATTTGTTACACAGGCACTTGGATATTCACATGCCCAACACATCTGATACACTTAACAACTATGGAAACACGAATGGAAAATGTCTGCTTGTAGGATCAAGAGAGAATTTCACCATGGAAAGGTGAATGAGTGCATTGACAATTTTTCCTTTACTTTCCTCTAAGAATTTCCAAAAGTTACACTTCAAATAATATGCAACAAAAACTGATCTACATTCCAACTGGTATACTAACTTGAACTGTGAGCAATTTAAACTTTTATCACAATGCAACATATTTATAGTCATGCTTGAACAGATTAGGTTAGTAGCATGCATTCCATTCTGCAATATGAATACTGTTAATCTATTTCCCAACAAAAGTCAAAAGATGCCCAGTGCATAGAAAAATACAAATCACTGTAGTCAATATATTACGAGACTGATCTTGGGACTTACATGGTGATGATGAAGTCCTAAAATGCCATGCCCACAAAAGCACATTAAAAAGTGGATAAACATTTTATCAGACAATCTCTAAAAAATTAAAGATGCGAGCTTTAAATTTGGGGGATTTTCTTGCTGTGTGCTTTGAACAGGGCCTTTCTGCTCACCTCCTTCTGGCTTGACTGGTCCATCAGACATCACCTTCCTGAGGGCTAGCTGGCTTTGGTCTTGGTTGCCATTGGCTGGTGGAGGCAGATTATCAGACTGAGTTCTTTGAATGGGGAGGACTCCTGCTATGCTGTGTCTGTGCTGCTTCCTGGCATGATTAGACTGACCGCTTTTATGTGCTGCTGTGGCAGTGTGGGTGAAATGGAAACCCAGAGTATGTACCTCAGATGGAACCAGCTTCAATGTTATTCATGCAAACAGAAGTGTTCTTTTGCTCTATTTCAATTGTGTTTTCAAATGCCAAAATGACATCACATGCACAGCACTAGAGGGCGTTAAAACTGGCTGTTTCTTTTAAAATGATGACTGGGAGATGGGAAAACAACCATCTATCTCATTGCCTGGCTAATGCCATGTGGAAGTAACAATTCACCTACATTTGTGAAATGCCTGCACTTAAGTTTTTATATAATTATATCAATTGCTTTACATTTTCACAAGTGAAGCAAAAAAAAAAAAAAAAACACAACAGTTAAGATGGGTGAACTGCTACACTTTAATTGATTTACAGTTACTAGACATAGCACATCTTGACTTTTAAAGGATATCAGTGATTAGGGAAAAAAATAACCTGTAAATTCTCTGTTATCATATACAAAGTGTGATCCAACAGAAGGGACCAATTGTGCTCCTTAACGAGGTTGCATTACCTCATCACATATGCTTATACATATATCATAATATGTACTTTTTAGAATATATGAAATATGATTTTATTCACAGATTTTTCAAAAGACTAGGAAGAGTCACACAAGGAAAGCTACAATGTCTCACATGCATACTTTCTTTATGTTTTTAAGCATTGGTTTGAAATGGCTTTTTCCCCTAGGCTCTAGAACTTGACTACTGATTGGTCTCAATACTCTTCTAATTTTTTTGAGTGTTTTCAGGTGCAAGAATCACATTGTTAACTTTCTACAAATACTTGTGTGTGGGTGTGTGTGTGTGTATGTGCTTTTTTGTGTGTAATACTTGGAGAATTGGCAGCTAATTGTGCTTATAGTTCCTGCATTCTAAATAATTTTTAAGCACACACGAAAAGGACGCACAACACTGCTTTGCCTGAAAACGTCATAGACACAGCTACCAAATACTATGAGCCAGGGTGGATGGATGGTGGGAACAATGGAGAAACAGCCAGTTTTATTGCAGTCTATGTAAATTAAAAAGAAAAAAAAACTGAATAAGAGAGCATATTTATGTTTTGATACTGTTCTTACACAGACAAAAGGACAGAGAACAGAGTGAGCAGGGGATGCCAAAAACAGAAAGCAAACAGGGAAGGACAGCAGGAGAGAAAGGCAACAGATGAACATTAAGCTGCCATGCTGAGGAATTTATTTGCGTCTTTTACTTGGTTGAATGCGGAGTTGTTGCACGGCGGCTTCCGCAGCGGCTATGGCAGCCCCTGCATCTTCCAGGTGGGTCTGAGTGACGCTGGTTTTGCTTTGACTGCGAGATGGTCCATGGGAACGAAGATGGCCTTCAGATGATGATTTTGAGCTACCAGGACTACTATGCGATTTCTCAATGGTAGGAACCTGCATGTCTGGTTACAAAAGGGTAAAACAGTTAAAGTTGCTCCAGCCTTCCTGCTGTCAAGATTGGTCTACACATAATTTGAAATTGTTTCAGATTTATTTTAATACTCTTTAAGGAATCATTTATGCTACTGCTTACCATGTAGTAATGTGACTAAACATTTGGAAATTTGGGGGATGAAAGGCAGAAGGGTCAGAATTTTGAGAAGAGATAGGTTAATAAAGAGGAAGACATCCTAATTAGCCTCAAGTCATGAATCTGTTAACTTCTCGTTTTTTTTTCTTGCAACTCTGATCATTCTAATAGAGGTCCAGTAAAAGACAATAGGCTTAGCATTGCTCCAGGAGGATTTTTAAACAAAATTATAGTGAAGTTTTAGGACATAATAAATGTAAATATTGTAAAATTATTGTCTCAGGTAATTTTAGAGAATGTATGGATCACGTTTACTAAGTTAGTCATAGAGACAGAGGTCTAGACCAATCCCCTTGCAGAATGCTAAACAAATTTTAAAAATTCCAATGGCTAAGCAGAACCCATAAATGAACTATGGAACCTATTCATAAGTAGTCTATAGCACTCATTCCCAGTCAATGGTTACCATATTAACTCAATAGCCTTCTAGACATGGCCTTAGATTCCCATCTCTTACAACACATAGAATCCATTCTCTTCTCATACACATAGAAGCCTGTTCAATTTGATGTGCTTAGAAGTGCATAAGAGACAAGGAAACAATACTAAAGTCTGGTATAAAAGTTGTATTTAATATTTATCAATAGTTCAGCATATGTAGATAAGATATCACACATTTATCTTGTTACCTAATTTATGACAAGGAATCATATTGTGCTATAAGGTGGTTGGTAATAAATCTCCCAAAGGAAAATATCACTCAAATGGAATGCTGTATATATTGCCAAACCCAATGTATGCCACTATTATTTAAAAAATAATAATAGTTTATAAATTAGTTGCAGTTCAACATTTAGGAAAGACTTAACAAAATTTAGCATACCAAATGTTTTGATGACATGGGTAAAATTTTCTTGATACAATAAGTAAAAAGAAGAATGCAAAATTATATCTATAGAGTAAGATTGTATTTGTGAAAAATCAGAGATTCAAACAATTAAATGGAATATGCCTAAATGGTAATGATGATTATGTTTTGTCAGTGTGCTACAGGGATTTTTATATTTTCTTTATGAAATACCCCAATGAATTTTCTAAAAATCATATTATTATGGATTTTAAAAACCAGAAAAGACCAAATGGTTCATATAGCCCAACATTCTACATTTTGTAGATTGAAAAATGGAGAGTTAAAGTGAAGATTGAAAAGTATTTTACTTAAGAATGTGGTTATCTGAAATTAGAACTTCTTTGTCTCAATTCCATATCAATGCTTTTCCTGAGATTATGTTAAATTTTTTTGCCATTCTCTAACTTTTCAATATACATTAAATATACATTCAAGAAGATACTTAGTGAACAAATAGACGAAAACTTTTTGTACTTAAAATATCTCCTACCCTTGGATGGGTCAGGGAAGATACCGTGGCTCCTGCTTTTGATGACAGATGGCTTTGGGGATTGCTGGCTGCTCTGGCTGGAATGAGACTTGCTATGATCAATGCTTTCAGTCTGTTCTTTGAGTGGATACCACCTAGGAGTGTTATCCAGATGAGATGTGCTAGATAAATCAATCAGTACCTGAAAAAAGAGTGCAATGAATCAATGAAATCTATGGATTAATTATGTTCAACTCATTACTTTTTTTCTGTAAATCTAAAATTTATTCAAAAATATAAACCAAAGGACACAGTGATGTGAGGAGGAGGATGCTGTCTTGCTCAGTTTTCTTTCTTTTTTATTTCCTTATTTTTCTTCACCCATAATATTGGGAACAAAGTCTTATGTATATTGGATACTCAGAAAATGTATAATTAAATTCAACTATATAATGTCTTTTAATATTAACTCAATTATTTGGATATTGTGTAAAAAGATAGGGTCACAGGTCAATCTTCTCATGAAACAACTTTTTACATGAAATTCTAGTTCTAACCTAAGCTAGGAACTTTTAAAAATGTATGATTTTAGTCACTAGAGGGACAAAAGTGAAAATAATGAAAAAATGAATACTGCAATTACTAATTTCTTCTATTTTAAAATACACTTTAATACTTGAAATAAGATATGACTAACAACACGATGAGAAAGCACTGTGTCATGGTTTAATTGATGTTATATTTTTTTCTTAGTGGCACATTAATAATGACAAATTTTCAGTTGATGAGTTATAAAGATCTAATAAGCCCCACTACAATGGACATAAGTTATGGGATTAGGGTAAACACAAGACAACAAACTGGAAGGACTTCCACATGTCCGTTTTTTAAAATAAAGACATTAGCTCAGATACAGCATTATATCCTAGAGTACTCCTGCTATGATCAAGGCTAGTCCATAGGCTGGAATAAGATGGACTGTTAAGGTGACAGTTTAATGGTCTGATTTGTGCAGAAAGAGGGTTATAGAGTCTTAAAAACCAAAGAAGCCCATGTTATCACCTAGACTACAAAATAGCTTTACACAGTCTGTATCAAAAGCATATCACCTTTTGTAGGTTTTAGATTTCTTGCAAATAATTTATTTTTAATATACACCCCAAACTTCTGCTCTAAGATCACCAAGTAAGAGAGTTTTGGAACATCATAGATGAAAATAGGTCACAAGATCTTGTTTTGATTGTTAGGTTCTATTCCTAGTTTTGCTTTTAATGATATTTGGGAATTTTTTTCTCAGGATATTTAATCATAAGTTACAATGTAAAATGCTACATAAAGTCATTTATACATGTAGCAAGGAACAGCAATTAAAGAATATGAAGTTCCATTTAAAAAAATCCAGCTTATCTTATAACATAAATTTGTTACCTCAAATCTCATTTCCCAATGATTATTGCTGTGAAGTAATAATAAATAAAATAATTAATTATTCTTGGAAATAATTATAAAGTAGCAGGCAAAACCATTTTTCAAGTTGCTGTTCAAATATTCAAAAAGTAACTCAGGAAATAAATTATACCAAGAAAAGAATTTTATTTAGAAATGGTTATTTTATAAACTTAAGATACGTGGTGCTTTGTATCATGCTTTAATTGGTGGTTTATAATGGTAGCAAATAAGGAAAAGGAAATCAGAGGCTTACCTCCCCAAGGAAGTCATTGGAAGAAAATCTATCATAATCCCAAACTGTCACCTCCAGAGTTTTCTTCTTGAGCTACAGTTCAAATAAAACTCTCATCAACCCCCTTTTTCCATCAGAAATTTTCATTATATTCACGTAATAGACTAATTTATTTTCACCCTTGAATCCTTTCCATTTGTGTAAAACCTCTTGAAATTCCATCTGAAACAATGTGGATTTATCCTAAACATTGTTTAAAATTTCAATGATTAGTTTGCAGTGCCTTCTACTGTTTGATCATAAGGGAACTCATTATTTTGTGAACAAAATGGCAACTCTCATTTCCTATTGTTCTATCCTACCCTCACACACCCATTTTTAAAAGTAACAAGCATAATCTAAGCAACCTTTGAATATAAGCAATCTTTACATGGCAAAAATATCTAGGATTATTTAAAATATTTTGACATTTAAAAATATTTAAAATATTTTTGTTTCAGTGATTTCCAAAAACAAATAATATAGTGACAGTATCTTATTTTTGCAGGTAAATTTCACTTACTTTAAAGAACTCAGCTTATAATTTATATCAGCTGCAACTTCATAATCAAATTAATCTTTCAGAGGACAAATTAAAGGCACATTTTGGAAAGATAATTTCCATATAAAACAATATAAGTTCTAACTGTTCTATTAGTATTCGCTTTTCTCTGAATTTAACCTTATAAACTTCATTTATTTTCTGTATTCATGGAAAGTTAAGATTTTTGAAAGCACATTGATGCAATTTTGCTTCAAATCACATATTTGTGGTGATGATATTTATGCTAGCCACTGTGATCCTGCTTCACAAATGAGCCTCATACTGCCACCTGTAAAGAGGCCTTGACTTAGGGAAGAGATGAATTCCTAAAATATTGTCTGGTGCAATGATCCATTTTGATGTGATGAAATTTGATGTTGTTTTTGTATCACTTGTGAAAGTCAAAATAAAGATAGTCAAAATAACTTTATAATTATAAGAAAAATATTCTTCCCAAAAGCATAAAGATAATCCACTCTATTAAAATATTTTAAAATTTTTTCATTGAAATAATCAATGGAAAACTTTGCACTTGTCTAATTTAATTTACTTATTTACTCATTTTTTGTGCGATTTTGTCAAAATACATACATCACTTTCATCTTATCTGAACTTCACTCATTTCTTTTCATTGGCTACATTTTTACATGTATTTTATGGAATTCTTGTTTTGGCAAAAACTAATATGGATCCCAATTTCAAAAATTTTGCCATCCTATATTTATATTAACCCAAATCTGTCACTTGGAAAATAATCATTACTTACCTGTTCCATGGAAATACTTTTATAAATTACTGTTTGATTCCACTCAGGATTAAGACTTTTCTGAACATATTTAGTCCTTCTCTTGTACTCAGCACTGAATTGGAAGAAAAGAAAGAGCTGTTTTGATTATTCACCTTAACTGATGACTTCATAGTTAAATTGAAGGACATGCAGACTTTTCAAGATATTTCCTTCCAGATCACTGTATAATCATCCCATTATCCTCATGTCTTAAGGCTTATTTTAACTTGAATGTACAATGACAATTTAAAAATATGTTGCATGCCTTGAGTTTTGTTTGCTCTAATGAGTATTGTTTTTAAAAGAAATGCCTGTAGATGTTCTAACAATACTATAATTTTGGAAATCTTAATCTTTCCTGAATGTAGGAGATAATTGCACAAACTATATGGTAACATCAACATCTTCTTGTCCCATAAATACTAATGTGGTGTTTAAATTTCCAATGGTTTTGCATGTAATCAAGCCAGCAAAGCTATATTGTCTTTTAATTCATTATTTCTAAAACAAACCAAAAATAGCAATGAATGCATTAACTGAGTAAAGTATGAAGAATAGTTATTGCTATAGCTGAAATTTTGTAAACATTTATCTAATATATAAAGTATATTCTGATGCTTTTGATAATTTACTTTAACAATTTTAATTAAACATAAATTTTTAGCTGTTGAGAATCAAACTCTAGTTCACACCCACTTTTAGAAGTAGCTCTGCCATCTTCCCTCTCTCTGGCTTTATGCTCTTACCAGCCAGTTGCAGGGTTGGTAATTCCTAACACTGATTGCAGAGTGGGTCACTTGGGGATCTGGGGTCTGGCAGGGGAACTAGAGGTAGTCAGCATTCCATCTACACTTCCTTATACCCTGCATCCTCAAGGAGACTCTGATCTAATCATTCTGGTGAGAAGCTTGAGCCTATGGATTTTTGAAAGCTCCCAGTAAATGTAGCCTAGACTATGACACACTGGGCTTGTATCTCACAACACCTCACAAGTAAGCCATTGTGACCTGAAACCTATTTTAAAAATAAAGTGGTATTCTTCTCACTTTTAACCACCCATTTGAACATACAAAAATAAGGGCAGTATTTGATGATTTTGTCATTCAAGATAAATTGCAAACATCCTTGGGGAAATATAAAGAAAATCATTTAAAGAAAAAGAGACTCATATAATATATACTGTGGACAGAAAGTATATTTGCACACACACTTCTTAGGTAACTTTGTTAATATCTAGAGAAATTTAACTTTATATCTACTCAAACATCTGGAATATTCCACTTCTGTCCTAAAGAAGTTATCCCATCTGTACACAAGATATTTGTTCATTGCAATATTGTTCCTAATAATAAAACAATATTGTTTGCAATATTATTTCTAATAGTAAGACACTAATAAAATGAATAATTATGATATATTCAATCAATTATATACTAAACTGTAGTTAAAATGAATTAAATATCCACATACAAAATATATAGATCTTAAAAGTATCTTTATCAAAAAATTTGCAGAAGGATAAATATATATACATGAAATAATAGTATAAATTATCTAGTATACATGCATATAAGACATTTATGTAAATATAATATGATAAAAGGAAGTAGAGGTATTAAATTCAATCGAGTAGTTAGGTAGACAAGAAAGTGACATCAGAAGGATCCAGGGGTCCCTTAAAATACCTTTTATTAAACATTGAAGTAAATATAACAAAATATGAGTATCTGGATATTTGATAAAACTAGATAAGAACTACATAAGTATTTGTTAAGGTATTTTCTATAATTTTCAGTACTTTGTAACAAACATTCAAATATTTTGTTAAATTATGTCTCCATATATTTAGGATTTTTGTTTTGTTTTTGATGATGACATGGGAAGAATAATGTGACCACTTTTAAGTTAATAGCAAAGTTGTTCAGCTCTCTAGCACCATAGCTATTCCCATAGAAAATAAAACATGATAGTATGAGTTTTAAAACATGATAGTATGATTTTTAAAGTTTCTGCTTGTTTTGGACTTAGTTATCAAAGTGGCAAGAACATGGGAAAACCATAAAAAGGATTCATGATACAATGATTAGTAGTAAAATCATTTTTCTAAATTCTAAAAATTTGAATCTGATAATTTTAACAATTGAGACTAAATGTCAAATGCAAACTCATACTTTCACTAAAATTTTAGATATGTGTATATTAAAGTCATATGTAGTGTTGAAATGTTTTCAAAAGAATTTATCAGTGTCTTTTCTTAATTCATAAATATAAATAATTATTTTTAAAATTTTCATATTCACCTTTAGACCTTTTTTTTTCAGTTACACAGGTAGTAACAATTATTGAATACTATTCTGTACCAGAAACTTTGCATCTCTATTAAGTTGTACAACCACATAATTCTTACTTAATTGTATTAACGTATGATCATATCTTTGATTATCATGAACAAGTTTGGTTCATGCATAAAAAACATTTATAAAGCAAGCATGCTAAAATAATAACTTTTATAAAATCCTTACTTTTTCTAGGCAGAGTTCTAAATTATTTTTATGTCTTAACTCAATCCTCAAGTCATCCTTAAAAGACAGGTATTATTTGTCATCCTATTTAATAGGAAGAAAAACTGAAGCTTAGAGGAATTAAGGTGGGTTGGCAAGGTTGCATAGTTACCGATGGTCAGGATTAGGATTTAAATATAGAAAATATGATTCCTTGCTCTTAAATACATAACCTATGAACTTAATTGATTAGGCCCATCATAAAATGTCACTTATCCTTCTATTTGTTTAATTGTAGGCTTTATGAACAGGGTTGTCTAGTTTTTTTATAACCTAAATTTCCCTACTTTAATTTAAATACTTGTTTTATATGTATATATACACAATATTGTATATTTAGTTACACAATATAAATTCTATATGATGTGTGTATACAAACACATGACACGAAAAAGTAGGCCACTTTTAGAGTTGCCTAGGGAAATTCTTAATGGCATACCTACATGAATATCATGGGACAAAAAGGGATAGTTATTGTAAGTATTTATTTTTTAACAGATTCATTCAAAGGCAACCTAAACTGGACACAAATTAAGCTGTCAATTTTAAAAGAGCATTTTAATCTTATTAAGATATTTCGTTCCCTAATTCTCTCCAGACTCCAGATATTCATTGCCTTTAGGATGAATAGAGGTAAACATGCTGCCCCTACACCCCTGGACTGTACTGTGGAAACAATAAAATCTTCTGCCAACTTCTTTTTGCATTTGCAAACCTGACATGCAGAGCTGGCCACAGAAGCCATTTCTTCAATAACACTTGTATGTAAATAACATGTTATATCCATCTTTTGCATGATCCCAACAGGCTGTGTAGCCATTTCACCTAATTGAAAACCTGCTATAATTCTCAAAGCCATGTTGAAATCTGTGGGTCACAGGTAGAGGTGGGCAGCTAAGCTGGGGGATTCTTGAATGTGAGAATAAATTCAGGCTGAGAAACAGAGTTCACTCTTATTTTCCTTTCTTGTCTGGTATATGCATGGCAGTACATTACCTCATGGAAGATTACGTTAATGATATTACACTATGACAATTAGGTCATATCTCATAATCAAAGATTTATTAATATGGGCAAATAAAAAGTCAATTTGTTAAGAAAAACATGGTGTTTATCTTAATATATATGTATATTTTAATTTTTATCCCCTTGAAGTTTTGACTGATTTCCTTTTTCTTTCGTTTGCTTTCATTGGCTATTCTGTAATAGGGAGATGCTTTTAAGGAAGTCTCAAGAAAATATTTAAATTCAATTATTCCACCTAAACCAGCAGAGAACAGAGTTCTCCACATCTTTTCAATTTTAAAAGAAAAAAAAATGAGGAAAAATAGAATGTGATAACTTCTTTGTATTTATTTTCGTATAATTAATTATGTAAAACCCTGGAGTCTTCTTTTATTTGGTTTTCCTCTACTGGTCTCACAATGTTTGTGTGTATATTGAAAAAAAAAAGGTGCAGTGCATACCCTATCACCCCATTATGTAAGCTTTATTCTTCTAAGCAGCAGTGTATTTATCATCTGTCACTTAATTTTCCCAGTTGTTCCCTGAGAGTAGAGATTACCACTGTGTTGTCAACTTGAACCCCAGCACTTCGCACATATCTGGCACATAATTATGCTAAAAAAATTTGTTGAATACATCCTTAAAACATGTTTGTACTTCTTTGTTTTCCTTTAAAATTCATTTGAAATAAAATAAGTTTTGGCTATTATATTGCACATGCATCTAATATCCATCCCAGAGGAAATAGTTTGTTTGATATGTTAACAATGATGTTTAGAGAAAGTCCAAAAAAAATAATTGAGTTTCCAGGCCTAATGATAGCTAAACCTAGTTAAAATCATAGGAAAATCTCATTAATGAGAAAGAAATGTGCACTTTGCCCAACAGTGTGAAGAAAGACCAGAAAGAGACACTTCAGATATATTCATTTCCACTCCTTAATTATCCAGGGGTGTATATTAGGTTCATGAATTATTTGGGTTCCTTCCTTGTTATTCTTTCACCTCCTCTGGTCTGACATTTATTCTCTCAGAGCTTATGAGTGTATTAATCAAAGACCAGGAAGAGGAAATAAGAAGAAATGAGAAAAAGGAATCAGTGTCATTTTTAATTAGCTAATAGAACTTGTATTTTTTACCTTTAATGTTCTGCAATTTGTTAATAAAGAAAAGTTGTTTGATTTTCTTAGTTTTGTTATATAAGTTGGTATAATTGAATAACCCAAATATGCCAGATTACCCTATCCTCACTTTTTTTTTCCAGAGATAACTGACCATTGGCTACATGAAGTTTATATTTATCACTAGCAATTATAATAGCAACTACCATTGGCTGAAAGCTTATTATGTGCCTGGTATTATGCTTATCACTTTGATTCATTACCCATATATTTCACAAAAGTCCTGTGGAATAGGATATTATTCCTGGTTAGTAGAGGATAAAATAGTTTTAGGTAAATCTCACAGTTTCTAAGTGACAGGGGTGAAACTCAAACCCAAGTTCTTTTCTTTTTTCAACTTTGGTTCTGTGCTACTGGGGATTATACCCTGAGCACTCCACCACTAAGCGACACCCCCAGGCCTTTTCTTATTGTAGTTTGAGGAAGGGTCTTGCTAAGTTGCTCAGACTGACCTCAAACTTGTGATCCTACTGCCTCAGCCTCCTGAGTCACGAAATTACAGGCATGTGACAGCATGCCTGGCCAAACCTACATTCTTAAGGACTTCATTGACTGGCTTCCATAGTACAACTTAATTTCAGGACCTAGTCATTACAGTTACCGCTTATACTGATGATTCTTAAAGACACACTGAAAATGACTTTTAGATGAAAGACTTACTTCTAGAACTTTCAAACTGTAACCCAAGATGCTCCAGATATTCAACCTTTATTTACATTGACAACTCCTGGAAGCTAAATGCAATCACTACTATGATGGTGCTTTCCCCCCATTTCTCTAGATAAAAGACCCAGAAATTCTGAATAATATTTTATGTGTGTGTGTATTGAAAAAAATGGGTACAGTGCATACCCCATTGTGTAGCTTTATTCTTCTAAGCAGCAGTATATTTATCATCTGTCACTTTATTTTCCCAGTTATTCCCTGAGAGTAGAGACTATCACTGTGTTGTCAACTTGAACCCTAGCACTTTGCACAGTATCTGGCACATAATTATGCTAAGAAAATTTTGTTGAATGAAGTGTACATTTCTTTCTCATTAATGAGGTTTTCCTATGATTTTAACTAGGTTTAGCTATCATTATGCCTGAAAATTCAATTATTTTTGGACTTTCTCTAAGTAACATTGTTAAATATCAAACAAACTATTGAAAATATTTTTGAATAATGTGATTGAAAAAGTCTGTTCTAAAAACAACACTCTCTCTTTGAAACAGAACAGATTTCACATATCAGCCCAAGAGAACTGGATGAGTGAACTAGTCCTAAGAAGAAATCCATCACTGTGTCAAAGTGAGAAGTTAATTGAGATTTACTGGACAGATTATAAATGAAAAGTTTAGTTCTGTCTAATTTCAGAGTTATAGTTCCATGTTTGCTTTCTGTTTTTAATATTTTCTAGTTTTTAATATTTTGTACTTTTCTGCATCTTATTGCACATACCTGCTAAAGCTATTTAGAAATGTGGTCAGAAAAATTTGCTGTAGGCCTAATTCAATAGATACAAGAAAATAGAAAAAATAAATGTTAAAACTCAAATCGAAGTGCAAGTCAATGTATATAACAATACAAAAAGTACAATTCTAGGCATAAGAACATTGCTTGACACTGAAAGAGAGTCAACTCTACCTTGCATTCTGGACAACCATGACTTGACTGCATTGATTCCAAGATCGAGAATGAAGGACACAACAGGAAAGTAGGAAAAAGAGGAAGAAGGAAGTTAGGAACAGAAGTAAGGAAGAAAACACAAGAATAATAATTAGAGAAACTATATCATAACAGATAAACGACATGAGGCAGAAGATCATCTTAGAAGTACAGTGAAAAAATACTTCACTAATAAGTCTCAATGCCTTAGTCACTGCAATAATTAGGATTAATTTAGTGAAAGAGTTAGGAGTTGAATATCAGTAGCATATTAGCTGAATTTAAGCTAAATTCCACTCATTAGGATATTTTCTTGGAGAAATTACATGAGGGTAGCTGGAGGTGAGGCTTTCTATCTCCATTTCACTATAGTTCTCATTATTCCCTGTTATTTTCTCTAGAAGGGACTGACATACTCACATTGCCTGTGTGTCCCTTTTTTTGGTTATTCAAGTTTGTAACATTCTAATTAAAATATATCCTGTATAAATAAAAGATAGGTACCTTCATGTAGGATAAAATACTTTTGTTCATTTATTTAAAAATACTAATTAGAGACAAACCTTTGAAAGTAATTTCCCCTTGTTTCATAATACTGTCTTTAAGTAACACTAGAGCTTTAATGACCACAATTAAAGTCAGAATGTAGTTTTTTTTTGTCATTTTTGTCATACTCACTTTAAAAGATATAGCCATGCAACTACATAAATGTATAAATAAATTAAAATAAGAGATCTCCATTTTTAGGTTATGTGGCTAGTGGGTAATCTCTGTGTGACATTATTGAGGGTTTAAAAAATGCTTGATAAATTAAAGCTAGAACAAACATACCAACTATTCTAAGTTTCTAAATGGAATTTTGGAAAAGGATGAAATTAAAGCCTGTCTACTGAATTTAACTTGGCACCTTGCATTTTTCATATTATTTTCTGAGTATTACCTAATTTATTGCCTCAGAAAAAACATAAAAAACTATGGTTCTCCTACCCTATCTCTCTCAATAATAACCAGAAGCCAAATTTCAAAGAAATTGATCATCTACCATAATGATACACAATAAATAGCAGATATAAGTGCAATGTATGACTCTAATTTGAATACCATTCAAAACAACCAACTATAGACAGAAAACATATTTTGTAGGATTTCAATGTTCGCTTTGTTTGTGTGTGTGTGTGTGTGTGTGTGTGTGTGTAAAGAAAATAGTTTTGGTGAATGCCCCATGTGTACTTAAAAAGAATATGCAAGTTGCTATTGATGGATAGTGTGTTCTATAAATATCAACTAGGTTCCCAATCAAGTAGGAAAATATTATGAATCAACAGGGAAAATAAGAAATTATTGGTAAATTTAAAAATTATGTTTATACATTGCTATTATGATTGTTTTAAAAGTCCTTATTTTTTAGATATGTACATTAAAATATTTGCATAGAAAATTACAATAGATGAAATTTATTTCAAAACAATCTGGGTAGAGGGAGTGCATGAGGGTAAACATGGAACAAAACTGCCCAGTAATAATAATTCTTGAAGATGAGTGCTAGGTACATGGTGGGTTACTGTACTAGTCTCTCTTCTTCTATAATACCACAGTAAAAATATTCCAAGCAAAAAGTAATATTCAAATGTAATTCCCCAGATTGACAGAAAAAAATAAAGAAAAAATAAAATTTGTTTCGTCAAATTACCAACCAAGATTTTTTTTTATTATACCTCCATTTGTTGATTACTTTATGGTTTCATCATGCTAATTTGGCTTATATAAATTGTTCAGATAAAACCAATTTGTAGTAGTCAAATCACTGTTTTGAAAGCACCCTTGAGTAGTGATTCACATGTTAGAACATCGAAATTAGCATTAATTATATGAAGATTACACATCTTGAAAGAGCACTTATCTTTTATTTATTAATTTTATTTGGTGCTGGGGATTGAACTTAGGACTTCAAACATGCTGCACATATGTTCTCAGCAACATGCTCAGCCCTAGGCACTTACTTCATGTCAACAAGGTATATGTCATAGAAGAGATTCAGACATATTTTCTATTTACTTACCCAAGTCAACCAACCACTCAAATATTGTTCTTACTTATTATTATTTTTAAAACATTGATATTTTAAAATGTGTGGGAAATATACATATAAATAGGGGCATATCAACAAGCCATTTAAAAAACATACATATTGGAAAATATACGCATTTATAAAACAGCAACTAAATATAGATTTTTAAAATAAATTTGGAAATGAAAACTAATTTTTTACATCTACCACAGATAATTTCTTATCTGATTTCATAACCTGATTGGTCGTCACAAGAGTGGTTCCAAGAATTGAAATGTTGATTTATTCCAGAGGATGCCTGAGTTGTGATTACTGCTATTTCAGAACTCTTTAAGGATTAATTATGAATTTTTAATTTCATATTATCTACTAATTAGAAATTTAATTTTGTCATGTAGACAAAACTAAAGAAAGGGTACTAAATTGAGGTGAGGTTTTGGAAATCAGAGATTTTGAATCCTGGGCTCTTGTACTTGAAAGACATTGCTTCTTCACTTACCCTCGCCCTGGAAGAAGGTAGACTTTAACAAAAGGGTCAGAATAGCCATTGTTGTCTCGAGGGACTAGGTTTCTTGCTTGGAGAATATGTATTATGAGATTCCCAAGGTCATAGTTGATTTGAAGCTTTAGGGGACAGCAAAATAGTCCATGAATTTATTTAAACACGAAATACATTATCACTAAATATCCTACCAGTGTGTTTTCATAATCTTATAAATAAGAAGCATCAACCCTCATTTCCATTTGATTTGAAACTAAACAGACCACTTAAGATTTAATTTAATTGGGAGCTCCCAGGCACATTTTAATTTCTAGTAAACATGCTGTTCATTCTTTTACAGTGAAAAGCCTGGCCTATCTAAAGTTCATTAAAAGGAAAATGATACAACAAATGCAGGTTTTACTTTTTCACTAAATTTCTACTCTTAGGAAAATACTATATATTGCTAATATTCATAACTACAATTACCAGGATTTTGAAGCTAAATAACTGGTAAATTTATTGTAAAATGCTATTTGTATTTCACAAATGTTACATAATATCAATACTGAGATGTTAAGAATATTTGAGAATGTATAGATTTTACCACTTCCTCCTTTGCATGCATTGATGTCAAACCTATAGCCTGTCTTTCTTTGCCTATTTTTCTTATATAGTGAGAGACTTAAATTTAATCTTGTTTAATTTTAGAAGCTGAAGAAGAAATAAAAGTAGTGGTCTCAGAGATGCTTATTAGCTGTGGCACATTGTCATTGAATAGTAAAAGACTTATTTTTTTTCATATGAATGTGTATATTTTTATTATAATTGTCATGGCTTTATAAACATACACATACATATATACAAGCACATAAATACATATGAAAAGTTTCTATAATATAGTGTACTAATATTTTAACAAATTTATTGAGGTTTAAGCCTGGATATTTTGTATCAGTGTTTCCATAGAACTCCTTGGAGTTTTTTAGCATGATCTGAGTGATATTCTGTTATAAATATAATATCTTCTCAAAGACAGTATAAACTTTGAATCTTAAAATATTTCATATCCCTATATATTTAATATACTTTACCTAGATATTTATTCTTCTGTCAGTATCCAGTAAATTAAATAGCAATCCTTAAATTGATTTTAGATAGTAATTTTTAAAAACCTAGGCTTAATCAAAGAGCTGTTTTATCAATGTTTAAAATATCTCAATATATTTTCTAAGGTAACAACTGCCATATTTTATTAATTTATGATCTTCTTTTATTCTTACAGAGATTTTTCCTTTTCACATTTCCTTTGATTACATGGAAAAAGAAAATTAATTATTACTCCTGAGTCATTTTCAAACTACTAGAAACTCATGGGCTTTTCTTTGCTTAAAATTAATTCAAGACATAATTCATGCAAATGGAAAGACAGACAATAGGCATTTCTATTAATATTTGGGTCTGTTTATGTATGTCTGTATCTATCTATCTATCCATCCATCCATCCATCCATCCATCCACCCATCCATCCATCAATCCCTCTGTCTAGACATATTTTTTATTGGTTGTTCAAAACATTACAAAGCTCTTGACATATCATATTTCATACATTTGATTCAAGTGGGTTATGAACTCCTATTTTTAGACTTATAATTCAAACAAATATTTGAGAAGCTGACATATTCCATCATAATTAAGCTAACTATTTTTTCTCTTTCATAATTAGAAGATTCTTTTGGCATCATTTAGAATAAGCCTTAGTTCTTTTTGATATACTTTTGTTTACCAAATAGTAGAAACAGAAAGATCTGTATTCAAAGGGGAAATCCATAAATAAAAATACTAACATTTTCTTATAATCCATACAAAATAGATATGCAGAGTTTATATTAAAACTGGGTAAACTAAATGAGTCAACCCTTCATTTAAAACTTTATAATTGAAATAAATCCTCATTTTAGTATAATTTAAATCTAGTTAAGTTTCCTGGCAGAATATGAATCTCTAATTGCCTGACTCAGTCCAGAAAAGCCTAGAGTCTCTATGATCATCATAAAAGCCATGTGAATGATGAAGTAGTAGACCCTAAGGAAGATAAATGGGAAGTTTAAATTGTGTATCATAATGTGGTACTGAAACATAGAATAATAAATTATCTGCAATTAATTTCCCTGAAATTTAGTACAGCTCCCAAATCATGGAGAGAAGTGTTCCTTTTTCTGCCAGACCTGGAGTTCACTTTTTACTGGTAAAGTGCCAAAGCCATTCCTTATTGAAATGAAAACTTGCAGGCTACCCCAAGAAAGTGCATTTCAAAATGTGCTCTTATGGCTTTAAAGAACATCTAGAGATATTCAGGGCTCAGTTCTGAGACAGAAGAGGATACTGCCAGTGACCACAGTCACACAGCTCCAATGCTTACAGATTCATAATCTGGCTTTCTATATAAAATTCCATTTGGAATCAGGTTTTGATAAAGACAAAAATACTGAAATTACTGCCTCAAGAAAATATCCTAAGCATTAAGAATAATATTGTTAGGACAAATTTCACCTACAGAATCAAATCATGGTGCTCAAGGAAAAGACAAATAAAAGAAGAAAAATAAAAATAAAAGAAGAAAAATAACAAAATGACAATAAACCCAAAGGAAACACGATGAATAATAGTCCAAAGGCAAAAATTTTAAAACAAAAATTGAGATAGAATCAAAAATTCTGGTATTCTCTTTATGGTATGTCAAATGATGAAAGACAGATGAAATACAGGCTTCCTAGAAGTGGGGAAGCAACAGAGAGAGCAAGATCTGCAATGCATGAAAAATCAGACTCAATCCTGCTACTTACTTGTAAGTAAGGTTTCCACATTCTATACTTCTCCATTTTCACACTCACCCCCCACTTTTGCTTTTATTTATATGTGCCTAGATAATTGCTTAATTGATAATTTTGGTTTTCATGACTCCATTTCACAGTATTTATTGTAGTCACTACATAGGGATTTGTATTACTTTTTTTTTTAATTAGTCTTGCTTTCACTGCAATTAGTTAGTCATCAGGCTACACTATGTAGCAATTAATATCCCTTGCTGTGTCCAAGTTCTTTCTAATTTAGCCTCAAGCTATCTCCCAGCTGATCTCCTTCTTTTACTTTCTGAATGCCATGCCTTTCCTTTTACTCCTTCTTCTTCCAGGAACACCCTCACCCACTTTCACTATGCTTATCCTCAAGTTAGTCCATATCTTTGTTATCCTTTGTGAAGGTGTTTATGAAAATTTACTCTAGAGTTTGTCGGAGACTGAGCTAAGAGTGTTGCTTTTCCTTATCTGACACTATTTACAAACTTAATTTATTGTGATAATTCTTTCTGTGTCCTTTCTTATCATCTCCATTTATTTGTGTTATTACTTAAAGCATAGTTTTTCTAATATTTCTTACTATGATCCACACTAAGAAATACAATTTTACAATATGCAAATACAGAAACACACACACATATTTTAAAATGATGGTGACCTATACTATTTTTGTTCTATTTTCCTAGTCAAAAGTTTTTCAATTGATTTCATAAATGATAAAGTCCTTTTACCTACAGTATGAAAAATGCTTCTCTACAATAATCATTCAGCAATTGTTTAGCAAATATTGATCAAAAATAAAAAAAGGCAGAATTAGATTTATAAAACTCTTAAAGATAAACGATTGGATTTCTGGGAAAATTGGTTATAGTTGTAATATTCAGAAGTATACAGTCACTGAAGCACAAAAAATAATTGACAATGCCATCAGACAGATTTCAAAGTAGAGAATTCCAAAGGTATAATTAGATTTTATAAAGCATAATTTATATAAATATATTGTTATAAAATTTAATTTTTCCTAAATAGTTCTAATATGTTATGGAAAAAGAAATATCCTACTATATTTACAGTTTCAATAGACCAGTGGCAAAAATAGTCAAAAAAGATGGTAGAATGACAACTTTTTAAAAACTTTCATACCTGAATTTCTCCTGTAATTGGATGAGAGACAACCTTTGTTGCATCAGTAGGCTGCAATATTAAAGACCATGCATTATTTTAAGAGATAAATTATTCATAGAATTTATCATTTCAACTTTATTCTGAAATTAATTTCTATTTTTTCAGAGCACACTGCCTGGAAAATATATTTCATCCATTTGGTTGCTTCAGAATAACAGGATCCACTTATATTTCTCAATACAAGTTTAATTTAATAGATATATAAAATCTATTTTTCATTTTGCTAGGCCAGTTTTGAAGCTGTCATTTTATGCCAGCAATATTTTAAATTACTTAGGAAAATGAACACTTTTGGTTTAAAGTACTTTGTTAAAGTATTTAGAGATTTTAAAGATGTATATAGTAATGAAAAAGAGTTTCTACACAAGACCTGCCTAGGAGCACAGAAGTTTTAATAATAAAAGTCCTTTTTTATGCTTGCTGGGTACTCAGCTACTTCCTGCTTCCTCCCAGAGTAAATCACCAAGTGGTCGCTTCCTATTAGAGGATGATGTTTAATTAAAATTCTATCCATTACAGATAAGTTCTCATCTATTTGATAATTTCTTTTACAAATAAGCCTTTAAAGCAATGTGATATCAATGTAGAGGAGAGATTTACAGACGCAAATCTTTCCCCGTCTGTATTTATTTTAGAAATGAGGGCACTAAAAATAAGATAGCTTTATTCCAAGTCTTGTTTTATGAAATAACAAAAGACTAACATTTATGGCATCACTGATAAAGTTATGGGGGTGAGGGCTAAATATTCTAAGTCACATATCCTTTATTAGTTCAACTAGTTTATTTAAAAACTACATTTAGTAAAACTCAAACTGTGCTCTGGCTCCAAAGTATAAACTATTATTTATTGAACACATATTCATTTAATAGTTTTCTATTTCAAAAAGACAAATAAATCTTGAGAAAAAAATGGTTCACACTAATTCCTGTTACTATTTATATTGGAATTGAAGATTTAGAGTTTCTTCAAATCAGATATCTTGAACCTTTTAAAAATCAAAATTATTTATTTTTTATTTATTTAACTTTAAAAAATTCAGTTGATGCATAATTTACATATTTATGGATACAGCATGGAAGTCTGGTAAGCACTTAATAAACAATATACAATGTATAATGATAAAATCAGGGTAATTAGCATTGAATGGGGCACAGAGAGACTAATGCTGCATGTTTTCATTCACATAAAGATAACAGATAAGTTGATCTCATAGAAGTAGAGAAGAGTATTCCATAGAGGATAGAACAAAAAGAGGGGAAGTGGAAGCAAGGTCAAATAGGAGAAGCCAAAATACAGTTAGACAAGCGGAAAGAACTTTTAGTGCTCTAAGGCACAATAGGGTGACTACAGTTGATAATAATGCATTATACATCTCAAAATTTTAGAAGAAAGAAATTCGCAGATTCATAGAACAAACAAATAAATCTTTGTGTCTTGACACATAGTTGGGGAATAACTGAACAAGAATCCCTCACCCTAGGGTCTCCACATAAAAATAAAAAATGATTACTGATAAACTGTTTCATTTGATTTCCCTTTGAGAACTCTATTTCATTTGACATATGACCATGGAAATATATTTAGTGAGGAGAATAATCAAATGGGTCATTTTTAGTTGTCCTGAGGTTCTGGTATATATATAGTGGGATATTTTTAATTATGGAGAATAAAGGCCAATATCTATTGGACCTGGCTATAAAAGCAAAAATAGACAAATGAAATTAAATCAAACTAAAATGCATGGCAAAGGGAAAAATTAACTGAACGAAGAGGAAATCTACAGAAAGGAGAATATCTGCAAACCATATATCTAACAGATTAATATCAAGAGTATAAATGGAACTCTAAAGTCTCAAAAGCAAAACAAAACAAAAATAAAACACAAATAACCTAATTTAAAGAATTATCAACAGACCTAAATAGACATTTCTCAAAAAGAAGATAAACATATGTCCAGGGACATGAAAAGTGTTCAATATGAATAATCATCATGAAAATGCAGATCAAAATCACAATGAGTGATCACCTCACTCAGTAAGTAAGAATGACTGTTATCAAAAATAATGGAGTTAAGTGCTGGTGAGTATGCAGAGAAAAACAAATCTCATGCACTGTTGATGGGAATGCAAAATTAGTCCAGCCATTATGAAAAGCATTATGGAGATTCCTCAAAATTAAAAAGTAGAAATTAGAGCTGGGGCTGTGGCTCAGTGGTAGTGCACTTGCCTGGCATATGTGAGGCACTGGGTTCGATTTTCAGCACCACATATAAATAAATAAAATAAAGGTCTATCACAAACTAAAAAATATATTTAAAAAAAACTATAACTAACACATAATCCAGCAATCTGAATATTCTGTTATATCCAAGGAAAAGAAGTCAGTGTGTAGAAGAGACATCTGCATTCCTGTGTTTATTTGTAGTATTATTCACAGTAGCCAAAATATGGCAGTGTCAAGCTAAGTACCCATCAGCTGATAAATGGGTAAATAAAATGTGGTACATACACACAATGGAATGTTATTCGGCCATTAAAAAAGAATGAAACACTGTCATTTGTGACAACATGGATAGAACTGGAGACCATTTTGTCAGTAAAGTAACTGATGCACAGAAAGACAAATACTGAATGATCACACTCATATGTAGATCTAAAAATGTTGACCTCATAGAAGTTAAGATTAGAATGGTGATTATCAGAGATGCAGGGAGATGGGGTGACGGGAAGGGGCGTGGCTAGTACATGTGTATAATGTTACAGCTAAACAAGAGGAATAAGCTCTAGTGTTCTATGGCATAGGAGGGTGAATATAATCAAGAATATTGCAATAAATACCTCAAAATATTTAATAGAATTCTAAATGTACTCACCACGAAGAAATGATAAAACTTTATGGTGATGGATATGTTAATTACCTTGACTTGATCATTACCCAGGATATAGTTGAAACAAATGATAAGAATGTACATAATAGATATATGTTAAGTCAACCAAAAGCATAAAATAATAAAATGCTAATAGATATGCTCTAATATTTATATATAAAATTATGCTAATTATGATTTAAATATTTTAGTTTTATTACATTGTATTACATTAATAGAGCTTATAATTTAATATTTAATTAGTCTCATACCAAATGAAGCATAAAGAAGTTAAAATTATCATTTTCAAAATTATCTTATGAACATATATTTGGATATATTATAACCTGATTTAGGGACATGTAAGCTTCAGATCATCACTTGATGTTTTTATAATCTCAAAATAATTGTTTTTAATTTTAGGATTTGAGGAACAAATAAAAGTATTGCCTTTTATGAATACTACATGTTAATGGGTTAAAAATATCATTAACTTTATTTATTTATTCATTCATTCACTTAACAAAAATGTTTTAATAAACTCTATATGTGCTAAAAAAAGATAGATAATAGCCCCTCCCTTCTACAGTGAAAACATACATTGAGTACAGTTTTTCAATAAAGAATATGTATATATATATATATATATATATATATATATATATATATCCAAAATAACAAGATTTGATTAAAGTTACTATCAGTAGAGTTGACTAGTCTCCATACAAGTATTATTCAATAGATTTTACTGTTTGCCACATAAGTAATTTTAAATATTCTAGTAGTCATACTAAAAATACAAAAAATATACATTGAAATAATTTTAACAGCATGTTTTATGTAACCCCATTCATTCAAAATATTATCATTTCACATATCAACATGAAATTGCAATAAAATATTTTACATTCATTTTCTTCATACTATCTTTGAAATATTTGTCACCTGAAAGTTATATAGAGAGCAGCTCTCATTAGGACTAGCCACAAGTGACGAGGAGCTGCTTTATTAGATAGTATAGCCCTACAACTTAGCATTTCAGCAAAAATACTGTAATACTACATACGCCCACATACTTGACATAGAAAAGAACTGCTGAATATCATAAAACTTCTCAATGTGATTTCCTTAATGTTCCAATACAACTATTTTAATCTTTTAATCATCACGTAAGATGTTAAAATATTACAATAAGTCAACTTTGTTCTCCCATAATACTCATCAGGTTCACAAGTGACCACTGATGTTTTCATTCACAAATATTTATTTATTTTGCTTTTGTTCTGTGCAATTTACTCAGCTATGAGTTAAAGGTGATATAAATTAATATGTAAATAAGAAGTGGTTGTTAACTCTTATGGAGTTTGTAGCCCAACTGTGAGGGTTAAACAAGCAAACAAGTAATTACAATTAAAATATAAATTATCTTAAGAGACATATAAAGCATTTTGCACTTTGGAGGGAGGAAGGAAAAGAATCATCTGATGTTAGGGAAAGACCACAATATGCAAAGATTTCTGGTCCTCATATATTTTTGCTTAAAGCCCATCACTGTTCTTTATTACCCGCAAATGGTAATAGAAAGGTTAGGAACAACCTACAATATTCTCCAAATTTTGATTGTTTAGGCTTCAACTCTCTTACCCTTCTAGATTCTGTACACCTATGTAGGCAACTTTCTGTTCGTGAGATTTTCTTCATGCTGCACTCTCTGCTTGGAATGTTGGCCCCTTTCCCCTGTTACCAAAGTTGTTCCATTAAATACCAGCTTTCCTAACTGTTCTCCAGGAGTGCTCACTCTACATCTTAGTGGCTTCCAACTTTATACCTTCACTGAATTTGACAAATGATTTTTCACTAGTAATTCGATCAGCACTTCTCAAAGTTCAAGAGGCATCATACCCATTTGGAGAACCTACTAAAACCCAAGTGTCTCTGAATCCCATTTCCTGAGTTTCTGATATAGTAGGTCAGGGGTTGGGGGTCAAAATTTTTAATTTCTAACAAGTTCCCAGGTGAAACTTGTTAGAAATGCAAAATTTGATGTTCCTGGACTGGGAGCTTGCTTCAAGAACCACTCATTGGTCTACCTGGTATGGAGGGATTTTCCATCTTTGCATCTTGAGTATAGAGCATGTGGCACTGAAAATATCTGAGGAAAATGCGGATAGTTTGGAAACCCTAAATAAATACATTGCTTATTGCAAGAATATTAGTCAATATTTGACAACATTGTGCTTACTATGATAATTTCCCAAGGAAAACATTTGACTCAGCCCTTATAGAACAGGTAAAATATGGCCAAAGAAAGAAATGGGGCAGAGGAGATTCCAGGTAGAAGGGATGCTTTTTAAACAAAAGAGTGACATAATTAGATAATTTATAAATTGTCTTCATTGTAATCTTATTTTATAAGGATAAAAAAGTTAAATTTGTGTTCCCTTTTAACTCCCTGAAATTTTAAAATAATGGTATTAGAAGCATTTGTTTCAAATGAAGATGTACATTATTAAAAAAATTGATTAGTGTGGAAATGTGGGTAAAATTCAAACTGGTGATAGTATTGTTTTTTATTGTCC